TCTCATAATCATATGGTGGTTTTGGGACGTTAAACCCCACATATCAATCAATCAATCAAATCCATTGAAATCTATACCTGCGCTTGCCTTTCATGCTCGAGTTGGAGCAGCCAACGGCTGAACAACCAACAATGGTTTATCCGGACGAAGATAAACGGGCGACCGCGTGCGCTAATACCGAATAATATGAGGCTTGCGGCGGAGCGGTTCGCCGTCGTATACTTTTCTTGAACAGGAAGCCGGCAACAGGTGTTGTATCCCACAATCCTTCGCTCTTTTACTGGTCACCTATTACGAAGGCACATACCCGGTATGAAGTGTGTGTGGAGAGGAGGAGGAAGCGGCTTAACATTTAATAATGCTCTGAAAAGGGCTCCACGCGGAATTTTTCAAAGCATTGGGGTTTAGAGAGAGGGAAGACAAAATAGAGTGTAAACGGGTAGAAATAACCAAGAGGAGGTTGACTTATGAAGGCTACAATCAAGGCACGAGTAAAATCCAATCCTTCAACACATAATGATAGTACTTACCCTATGGTTAGGTGGCGTGAGCCACCGCCCGATCTGAAGAGCACAGCCGGATACATCCATCCATACAGGGCTAATAGTTCTGTCGAGCGCCACTACGAGTTATGCAGTCAGCACCAATGTTTTCAAGCGTTAGAGGGCCCCTTTAACCTCGCCCTCGAGACATGTAATTTGCTTAATCTTGGACTTCGAGATTAGTACAGCTTTACGGATTGATATGTGTGATTTAACGCCCCAAATTCACCATATGATTATGAGAGACGCCGTACTGGAGGGCTCGGGAAATTTCGACCACCTGGGGTTCTTTAACGTGAACCCAAATCTGAGCACGCGGGCCTACAACATTTCCACCTCCATCAGAAGTGCAGCCGCCGCAGCCGGGATTCAAACCCGTGACCTGCGGGGAGATTAGTACAGCTGGGGGTTGATATAAATAACAGATACAACACTAAGCTGATGCTGAACTCCGTACCTTCTCAATTGTTTTTATCACGCTTTTGCTTCTTTATTTCAATAACAATGACGTTTTGCTATATGATGATATCATGCGTGATAACTATTGCTATTGTTCAGAAACTACTACTTTTTAGCAGGGAGGCATTGAAAGTATGTAATGGCAATACGATATTGTTGGTGGAGCTCATACTTGTTCTTAGTTTGTCACTGACTGTACACGAAAACGCTCCTGCATGGCTTTCTAAACACGCAGAATAGCGGGAGGCCGGAAACCCCGTAAACGGAAAGTGTCATTCGAAACTGCTTTGTCCATTGGTCGTACGTAACGGTCCCATCAGTACTAGTCGCAAAATTATTGGGCCCGCCAACATTAGAGAGTTTTAGAATAGCGCACCACGAGCCCTTGCGCTGCAGTCGCTGCCACTGCGCATGCGTCGTAACGCGAGTCGGCGTTCGCGTTCGCGGACCGCACGCAAAAAATCCGAAATTGCGTGCGGTAATGGCGGCCCACATGTGGCCCGCAAGCGCTGGTTTCGAGGCTACGGGTGGTGATAGCGGCCCGCATACTCGACCTTCTGTATTTTACTGACCTGCCCAGCGAGCAAAGTGCCAGCACGCCCTTTCTGGTATTGGTGCTTGCTGCTGTGCGCCCTGTGGCGCTGCAACTTATTTCAGGTAGGTAAATTGCAGTTGCGCAGGTAAGTTAGGCACTTCGACATGCTCCTGACCGGGTTGCAGAAATTATGTGCCTTTTCTCATCTTCTAACCACTATCACCACCACTTACCTCATCCACACCGGTTGCTGGCGGCCAAAACATGAGTCGCCGTGCTTTTTTTTTTTCGTCTGCTCGCGTGACGCTGGGAGAAAAACAGCAACGTTTACGCGTGCATACACTCTTGATAATTAAAACGAATAAAAATCTCTTTTGGAATTAACTTAAAGTTAGGATGACGATCTTTCGCTACCGTCTGCTCGTGCCGAGCTGCGACAGAAGCGTGCAGGTCGGTGCAATTTGTACACCAGCGAAACGAGGTCTCTTGGTGCAAATTAACCATCACGATGGTGCTGTGCTACGTACTTTTCTGCGAATCAAGGCAAGGGAAGATTCCTGATGTGACTTTTCATGAGTTTCCAGTGACCGAGGTCCATGAAAAATGGATCGAGGTGATTTCTGTGTTTTAAAAGGCTACGCGTCTCTAAAGGAGTGAGTTGCTGGGCTGCTTGGTGGTGCATGACAGACTGAGACGCATAATAGCCCCAAAAAATAATAATAAACCGACAACATCAAAATGTAAACAACGAAGCGCTATACTCGCATCTGTTTATTAGCAAAAAAAAAAGAAAAGCCAACATGAGTGCACATATGAAAACCATGGCACTACATGTAGTTATGCAACTAGGTTTTGAAACACCCATTGTGTGAAGAATTAGCATTGAATAAGTGATTTTAAGTGCTGTTTCGTTTCAAAACAGTTACAGAGGGCCTATCATTGATTGTTCATGTACCTGCGATCTACATTTGCCATTGTACATGGGATCTACATTTGCCATACGAAGGTATTTATGTGCAAAATTGTCTGTATTGGGTTGTTTTCTATGCACGCCGGATGCCGCGGACATTGTCAAGTGCCATATTCCTTGCCCTTTCTTGCCCAGACAATAAATGCAAGCCAGCTGAATGTAATACAACGGCAACAAGTCTACCATTGTATACACATATAGCTGGTATCATGAGCTCAATAAACATTTGGTGGCCAGCGCTTTTTACAACCTGTCTACTTCGTCATTCTTTTTTGTTTTGCATGCTGGTACATGTGTTTGTACCTGATATGCGATTATATTTGAGAAATAATGCACTGAAACATCTATAAAATGCAAAAGAAGATTCTCAAAGTCATATGAAATAAAATGATTCAAGATAGCCGCCACATTTACTCAATGCGTGATGAAACTTTTCTCTAACCGGCGGCAACCCATGCATTCACCGGCGCTCAGCTGGGGTAACTCGAGCGCTCCCTTGGCGGCGAAGTTCGGAATCCGAGCCGGCGCAGGCAGCTCCGTAGACCACCGCCTGCTGGGCAGGTCAGGAGTACATTTGGTCGTGCCGGCATGTGTCCCGTGTTATGCCTGCAAGTCCGCAGCGAACGTCCATGCCTCCGAAAAAGGAAATCTGTGTCAAGGCCAGCCCGCGAGCCCGCCTGACGCGAACAACTCAACGGCGTCAACACGCGGCGGTGCCTCTCTGCCGCGCACGCACAGTGAGTCACCTCAGCCACCGAGCCCGTCGAGCAAGCAACCGGCGCCTTCCTGTCTGGCGGGTCTGACGCATTGCATGGCGACGTCACTCGTCCTTGGGTGCAGCCACCTGCAGCGCAGCCTCTCCAGATTCGATGAGAAAGAATAACGCGGCCCAACGGCGACCCCATTGGAGGAGTCTGACCTCACGACCAGCGGCGCTTCTGGTTGGACATTTGGTTACTCAAAGAATCCACCCGGTGCATATAAAAGAAGCCCTGCGGCGCGTCGCGAGCAGTTGAGCTATGTGTTAGGAGTTGAGCTATGTGTTAGCAGACATGTGTGTCAGAGAAGAGAGCTATGTGATAGAGAGTTGAGCTGTGTGTCAGAGTAGAGAGCTATGTGATAGAGAGTTGAGCTATGTGTTAGCAGCAAACCTATGTGTTAGAGAGGAGAGCTCGGCTCTTCGGGTCTCTAGCTGTCGGCCCCAGTGCCGAATTTGTAACGCCTCTGTATATATGCTGTACATAAACCTTCTTTAACTCACCGTCGTCTCGTCCGCTCGTCTATGAGCTCTGCGCAGAGGCAGTCGCGAGCTGAGAACCCTACGCTACCAAACGGCTGGTGACCTTCCCGGCGCAGTTCGAAGCAGTGGCGCCTTCGGGACCGTGTTGGCGTCGCCGTCTTTCGAAACAGTGGTTGCAGCGGTGAGATTCGTGGCGCCCTTCGTAACGTCGTTGGAGGCGCGCTTCGTAACTCCCGCAAGCCCTGGTTTCGAGACTACGGTGTCGCTGTGATCATGCGTTGCGGATCGCAGTACGGCAAACGCTATTCTAAGACTCATATGGCGCCCGCAACACCCGCAGCGCTTGCAAACTGTATTCTGAAACTCCCTATTTACGACCTTTGCGTTACATACTGTACGCTAATTACGACAATGAAGAGATATACCTGGAGCGGCTCAGCGGGCACAGCGAACGAGCGGAACGCGAACTGCGCATGTGCGGCACGCTGAGCGAGTCAGTGATTTTTTTTAAGGAGTGAGCCACTCGCCCGGTCATTTCGTCCTCTTAGCCGAGCATGCGCAGTGGACTAGCGTGCGAGCGTTCTCAAGACAGAGCATCTGCTCCACCGGCAGTAGCTTCAACCGTGTTCAGCAGGTGGCGCCGCAGTTCACTCCGCTGTATACTCCGCCGTCTCTGCGGAAAGGAGCACAGCATTCGCTCGTATATTAATCATTTTGTCTTGAGCTCCCCTCGCCCCTACGCTCACCCCACTTGTCTACTTAGCTATTACTCTCTAATGTCTCACATTCATTACGCTGCCTGTGTTTACGCTTTCGATCCTTACCAAGAATGCCTACGTAGCGCACGTAAAGCTGAGCACGGCTTGACGGATATGCAGAGCGCCCCTCTTCGCCGATTCACCAAACGATGCATTTTGGCGTAGTGTTTACTACGCAACTGTACTTGCAATGAACATTCTGAGACAGCCTTGAACAGCCAAGCTTATACGCGAAGTCATTCCTTTCCCAACGGCATGGTTGATAAAGGAATGGACAAACGAAGCAAGCCTGGGAATCCGCACGAACATCGATTACGATATCGCGTTTGAAGTGGAAGCTCAAGCGTCCCTCCAGTTGGTTTCCTCTCGCGTAGCTGATTAGAATATGTTCAGTTAGAGTAAAAAGTAAGCAGATCGCTATGTTTTAAGATAATAAACTGCCATAATTGCAATGGTTAAGAACATTTCAATATCAGTGAGTGTATACTACTCAATAACATGAGCAAACGCTGCTTTATTCGGCTTTTTTATTGAAACATCTCAAACGCACCTAAGTGATCTTGACAAAAGATGCAATATGCAAAACATTCCATATTAGCTAAAACAGAATGGCGCCAACGGCGCGCACATTGCGAAAGTTGGGGCTGCATTTTTAGGCCACGTCACACAATCATCCAGCACTGTTACAGATGGCAGTACATAGGTTGCAAGACATTTACACGCGAAATGCACTATACTCTGCTAGCTTATTTTTTTTTACTTAAGGGCGTATGCGAGCAACGTTCTTCGCAAAGCTGTCTCGTGCAGAAGGGTAAGTTGATTGGTCATTACAGTATCTTCAAATCCATCATGTGACTTCGTCTTCAACCTGGAATGTAAAAAAAATGCAAGAAGTAATGTTTAATACCAAGTTGAATACTAAAGTGAAAACAACATGAAAGGACCTCATTTCAGAATGTTTTGCGGCTGCTTCTTTAGTTGGGATGCTTAAGCGATGCATTTCGAAAACATAGTACTGAATGGCAACCACAATCGCATTTAGGCACTGCCACATATTGTCGCTAATTAGCGGGTAGCCATGTTTTCAGCGAGTTCACACAAGTTGTTGATGAGCTGAGGGCAGTGAAGGTAACAATTTCTGCACTTGTATTTCGCCTAGGAACAGTGTATTTTCTACGCCATAGTAAACCGGTATTGATTTTACTGTACTGCCACTAAAAGCAGCAAACGTTTGGTAGGCTGCCACCGTACTTATAAAGAAGAAAGTCCAGCGAACAAATAGGTATCAACGTACTGCGGCGCTTATATAAGCTTACTGCTAAAACACTGCACAAAACGTATCGCATATATCGCAGTAATATTTTACTTACTGTGCCATACAGCAGGTGGGTCGGCGCTCAAGCTGTTTAATAGTTTAAATGATTGGGAATCATCACTACCCGACGCCCTACTCTGAGCTTGAACACGAGGAAACAAACACGCCAGCACTGTGCGCCGAATTTAGGTCTTGGTAGGGGCCAAATCCACAGAACTCACGTCCATTGCCGAGCATCTCACGAAGAACGTCCTGTTGCCGCCTGGAGAATCCATACTGTGGTTTGAAGACTGCAACGCCCTGCACCGGTGGCCAGAAGCAGAAACAGTAGACGTCAAGCCCCACATTCGGCGTGCTGCTTTCCCCAAGCATCGCGCATATGTGAGTACGTTCTTCGGTTACATCCATCGAATAAATGAAATCCATGTTCGACTTAACATTCTGGAAATAGCGGGCCATGGGGGTGTCCTCAGGTGCACCCCGAGTGTCGCAAATCCGAACAAAAAGCCAGGGTGCGATGACGCCTTTTTCCATGAGAGACAAATAAATCTCGTTTATGCAGCACAGGCGATCCTTCATGTCCGACATAGCGGCAATATGCGAACGGATACTGGCAACAGCCGTTGGTACGGTCATTCCCCTAATCAGCGGAATGGTTAGAGAATCGTCGTCCTGCAGGGTATGTAGCTTATCAGCTTGCATGCTGGAGAGGTGGGAGCACAGCCTGTCCAAGTCGACAGATGCCATCACCATATTATGAAAACTGTGTTTCAGAAATTCCACAACTCACAGGAGCAGCTCCTCGGCTAAGCTGACGCTATGCTTAAAACACCAGGGACTTTAGCAACCTAAACTGCTAAATTGAGCTACTATGCCGACCGTATTGCACTCCATCTGTCACAGATGTTCTCGTTTAATTGAAAGAGCCTGCACTTAAATCGTCGATGTATCGTGACGAATTGGTGCAAATGACCGCGGCAGCTGATACCCTTGAAGATAAGTGCTGAAACGTGTTGATATAGCTGGGTTTTTCAAAAGTTGGGGCGACTGTAGCACGAGGCGTCTTGTTTAAACAAGATCGCTTAGTTTTGCCCTCTCGTTACAGCTACTGATGCGGTTGCCAGTTTCCTGACTGAAACATTGAATATCAAACTCGTGCGGGTGTCTGCAGCCTCGGGTGTCAAAAACGCGATGTAATTACAAAAAACGCCGTATGAAAACGCTTCGCAGATTTTGATCACAAATGTCGATGGCGGCTTTGATTTTCAATGAGAAACTGATAACGCATATGACAGAAAATTTGAGATGCATTTAGATAAGCAACTACAAGAAATTGTTGTTTACGAGTTTGAATAAAGCTCTAGTAGTTCTGCATTATCAGCATGGATTCTACCACGAAGTTGCATCAGTTCATTGATTTAATAATATGTGGGGTGTAAAATCCCCAAACCATCCAATCATTGTGAAAGATGCCTACACAGTAAAAATTTTTACACCCAAAAAGGTGTAAAAAGGGTGATTTTACGAGAAAGCACCCTTTGCAACACCCATAAATGATCGATTGAAAAAAAGCACCCATTTGTTTGAGTGCTTGCCTCGATAGCACCCTAAAATAGGCTCTAAGGGTGCTTTTGTACCTGAGAAGGGTGTAGGTGACGATTCATCAGATGGAATATGCAGCATATGAAGAACACATAATTATAATATTTGTGGTTTTACGTCTCAAAAACCTCGATATGATTATGAGGGTCGTCGTAGTGGAAAGCTCTAGAGATTTTGACCTTTTGTTGTTCTTTAATGGGCGCTGATATCGCACAGTGCACAGGCTTCTACCTTTTCGCCTCCATCTGAATTCGACTACCACGGCCAGCATCGAACCCGCGACCTTCGGATTGGCGGCCGAGCAGCGTAGCTACTGCACGAATATGTGGACCTTGCGTTAAATGACGGCCTAGACTTAGAATGTGTGAAGGTGCGAAGCAAATCGCGTTTCATCTATAATGGCAAAACTGCAATCCACGTTACGAAAGCTCACCTTAGCGTTGGTTATAAGCTACATGTTTGCTGTGGATTATATACAGGAACACAATGTTCGACCGAGTATGGGTGTGTGTGCGTGAGCCTGCGCATGTGTTAGCGTGTAAGCGCGATTGTGTGTACACCCGTGCATGTGTGCGTGCGCGTGTATGTGCTTGTGTTAAGCGTGCCTGTGCACATGTGTACGCTCATGCATGCGTGCGTTTACGGTCGCGTGTGTGTGTTGCCGTATGTGTGTATACGTGTATGTGTGTGCGCCTGTGAATAAGTATGCGTGTGTATCAGCCCGTGCGCCCTCAAATTTCGTGTGTGTGTGCGGAAGGGGGCACTGCTTCTTAGTGTTTAAGGTCCCACACCTGTTCAGACTGGGAGTCTATATGGGAGGTGGCTTAAGAAATGGCGGTGGTCAACGCACTGTACACGGACTATTCAGTACATGGAAAACAGCTGCACATTTTCGTACCTCATCATTGCTTACGAACTTGCTGTGGTAGCTGATTAGGTCCGCTGAGGCCCTTCTACGCTCGAAAACGTGGGTTACGACCAATTCACACGCAAAGCTGTCACTGCACTTATGCACAACCATCGTTTGTATTAACAACGTTTAACAAGAACGTGCCCTGCCTTTGCTACAGGTGCTTAGCTAGCTCATTGGGCAACCATATGAAATTATGTGCTGATCATGTGGTCAGCAAAAAGTTTGTTATAACAACCTCGGCACGTTTTGTGGTGCGTGACAAGCCTTCTAAACATCCGTGACTGTGGATTAATTTGTTCCAGCTTCGACTACGCATTCAGTGTTAGCGGCACCATACGCGGAATTGCCAGACACAGACAATGCGAAAAGAAATTCCCCTGGAAAAAGGTGTAGGGATGCTCTCCCGCTAATGCCACCGAGGACGAAATAATTATTGTTTCTGGCCATTTCATGGTGCACTTTGTTTTCCGCAAGTTTTGCTTCACTATTTTTCGCCCACTGCAATCGCATTCCGTCAAAATACTCAAAGAACCCGAGACTGGTAAATAACCTGCGTCGCTGTGCGACTGGCTGGAAGGAGAGTTGCCGTTCACAAGGAGTCATTCCGTGTCGAACGGCCGTCCGCGTATGCGCCATAGCGCTTGCCTTTCGGCGCCGTCTAGGCGGGTTTCCCGCTCCTCCCCCCCGCTCACCCCGGCCAGCGTTGCTCCCACAACGGCGGCGTATATAAGCGAATAGTTGCGTCACCGAACACCTGCGTCGACAGCTGCGGCGCCGCCGCCAGTGCCTCCTCCTTCTCTCTCTTAACGTTGCTCTCTCTGTCTCATCGTCTTTCAAATGCGTTGGGTTGGTCTGGGGTCTTGGTCGCTGTGTGTGTTCTAGCGAACAGGCGCATATGGTGGTCACGAATGACACCGTGTTCGAAGTGACGCTCGGATTAAGGAATATTCATGGAGTGGCGGACACGGACAACGTGGGCCTGTTAACGATGAGTGTACTGTTTTCGTAGGTAGTAATCATACAGCGCTAGCTGGGCGCCTGCAGCAGCTCTGCCGAAGTAGGCTGCCAGCCATTTACAACAGCATGCGTTTCCGGGCCTGTTGCAGATGCCCGATTAAACATGTGACTTACCGAGTTCACACTGCTATGCGCGATGTTGTGTAAGTGCCTGCATCACTCATACAGTGAGTGATGTGATCACTTAACTAGGGTGGGATTAGTTGCTGATCGCACATTGTCTCTACACTGCACAAAGTAATTAATATTGTTTTAAGATGTGCTTTGGGCTACATCGTAATAACATTTCTATTAATACTCAAATGTGCAACGTGCTTTTGTAGGTGTAAGCGTAAAAAAAGAAAGAAAAAGAAAAAAAATTATGTACAGAGGCGCACTATAGGAAATGGCTTGTTCTTTTTTTTTGCTTAAAGACGGTATAGTTGGAGGTGCTGATATGCCGCGATTCTCCCAGCACGTGCGCCTCGGTCTTTTAAGCTATTTAGGACAAGTGTCACCAGCAACAGGGAAAGATCTAGCAGACTTCCAAAGGCGCGTTGTTGTGGCCATCGCCGTGCGTTGTTTTCCCTCGTTTCTGTCTGCTGTTTTCGTGCTTTGCCTTCATCTGCGATAACGTTCGGCGTTATAACAGAATCGAGAGAGTATACGTGACTGTGGGAGCTATGTGTGGTAGCCCTAGCATAAGCCATGGCTGCTGCAACGTAGACGGCGTCCGCGCGCGTTGGTGTCGTTCGAGCGCTCCTACTTGCTTGATTGTGTTTAACTGAGTATTTAGGCACGGGTTACGTTTGTAAATCCCGTGGTCTAAAATCGCTAATAGCGTGCCCCTGATTGCCATCAGAGGATGGGCTTAGTTGTCGAAATATGCCAGACGCTTTTTCTGGAAGCAAGCTTTGAAAAAATTTTTTAAAGAAATACTTTCATACGTGCTAGGCAGTGCCTATTGCAGGCGCGCAACTCTTTAAAAACTGGACGAGCTATCACATCTTTTATCAAATTACAATGAATTAGGATGATTGAAAGATAGATGACGAATTTCTGTGCTAGATTCGGTGCACAAAACACATGTTCGCAGCGCTACGTCTAGAAAGCAGGCAAATAGGAAGCACAGCGTCAAATTTGGATTAGATTCCATTGACGGAGCGTCTTGTGAGGGTAGAAAGAACGAGAAAAATGTTCATTTTTGATGCCCTTATAGAGGCAGTCAGAATTGCACTGATTGGTGACCTGTAACAATTCCTCAGTTTGTTAGAGGCGGGATTAAAGTCACTAAATCTTTTACTTTTTTTTGCAGACCTCTTCGCTAGAGCCACGCCCAAAATCATTTGTTCTCATGTGAAAGAGAAGGCAGAGATGTCTTCACTGTTTGTACATGAAGAGGTAAGTTTCTTGTGCGTTTTAATTAATGCTACATGTTCTGAACGTTGTACTTTAAGAATTGTTTTTCACACTGGCTCACTACCCTAGAAGGAATTTGATTCTTAGGTGAGTTCAGGCTCTCGTAAGTGCCATTTTTGAGCTGTAGTCTTACACTTCACCTCATTTCGGGAATTTGCTGTGTGCTGGAAAACTCTTATCTTTATCATACGAAATTATTGTAATGTATGGGTTGTATTCTTCGAGTTCAGTGTAATGTCAATTACACGCCATTTCGAAGGATACACACTACACATTCTTTATATATGGTGCTGCCAGAACAGCACGAACATCCTTTTATGAGAAGTCATATTTGCTCTAATTACAGGATGAGAGGGTGCCGCTGACGTCCTGCGTAGTCTACCCCGTCCCCAGCCTAGAGCAAGCCTACTTCCTGAAGCTCCACATGGATAACCGAAAAATCTTCGGTGTCAGTAATGATGAAGAAGGAGTGACAGCACTGATGAGTTGATTTTTTTTATTTTCAACATTGTCTACGGCCGCAAGGCCTTTAACAACCACCGTGATTGAGCGGCTTTTTCTCGGCGTGAGTTTGGAGCTTGTCAAAGAAGTTGTTCAGGCAGTACGACGCTGAAAATTTTAGTGTCACAGTGCCTGAACAACTTTTTCTAGTGTGGTCATGGTAGATGAACAAATATTGTTATTTGTGTAAGTTATTTTGCTTAAATATAGCTGGACCATTCTATGCCAAACGTCCCAGCCACTTTGGCGACCTTCTGAATTGTATTTGAAAAAAAAATGTGCTGACTTACTGCGTTGAAAACAGTGAACTGCTAGAATATTTCAGCGAGAAAAAAAGTTTTGTTCATGTGGCTGGCTTATAACTTCCTGGCATAATGCCCTCTGTGTGCTGTTTGTGAAAAATTTTGTTTTAAAGCTACCGCTTATTTTTTCCAAAGCAAATTCGGTCTACG